TCTGGCAGTGGCTCACCCAGCACGCCGACCATATATGCAGACTGACAAAGTCCGCAGTGACCAATAGGCGCCCACCCAGGACAATTATTGATTTTTGTACAGGTTCAAATGTTCATTGTTTTGCAAAGATAAGGGCCTGACGAAGAATTGCCGAAAAACATGTTTTGCCAAATAAACTGATATTTGAGGTTGCTTATTTTGTTCATGGAGTTGACTTTAGGCGCAAAATGCTGTTTACTAGAAAATAATTCTGTTCAGATTAGTATACTTGTACAAATACGGGTGGCGTGCGGCCACATCCGACGTTTGTTGCTATCCAAAGAATTTTTCACGCTAGCAAATGCTGCGGCAAACATTTTTTTGTTTGCGCGTGTTGTACTACAAAAGAACGTTAATAAAAACCAGCAACTTATTCATGATATTTATGCCGAAAACAGGCAATCTTGTTTTACGTTCATGAAATTGAGGTAATTGTAATTATGAGATAACGCATTATTGTCGGAAAAAAGAGTGAATAATGTTTTAAAGAGACTTTTTAGCAAATCTGCTAAGAATTGTGAAATCAAATTAAGAAAATAACTTATGAAGCTCTAATTTGTCTAGCCCTGCCGAAATTTACGATTGTAAACAAACACATATACAACCATGCAAAAAGTGCCGTCAGTTTTCTATTTCAAGCCGTGCGCAAAAGATCTCCTAACTTTTACTATTGATATAGTAAATTGAATAAATAGAAATATCGCAAACGGTACAGGCAGAAGGTTGTTAGTTTTCTCAAAATCGTCCTTGATATTCTGCCCGTTCGCCCTGCATTTGTAACCTTACAACCGCGCCTAGAACTAAACAAGTATAGTGAAAACTGCTCCGGTATACATAAAAAAGTTAGTTATTTCATTTTCAGCAGAAAATATCTCCCTTACTTTTAGAGAAGCAAAAAAACTGGCCAAAATGTCCCATGCTTATCTTGACTTAATCTTCAAAAATAGGTAAAGTACACGAGTATTCAACACCGACATAGCTAACTTAAGCACTTTTTCAAGAGGTGATTTGTTATAGGCAGTGTTTTTAAATTAATCTTGCGTTTATTAATATCTGACTTTTGTTGCGGACGTTCATTTTTTCCCAGCAACGATTTGACATGTTTGGGAGGTTCTAAAACCATGACATAAATAGATAGGTGCATAATAAAGAATGCCTCAAATCTCAATATTCATGTAAATGCGTTTAATAAATGTCTTATTTTGAAGGTTTTTATAAGCATGTGGAACATAATCCTTATTTATGGACAATTGACTGAAAATCACTGTGTTAACTACCATTTAAAGAACGATTTGAACCTCGTCGTAATCGAAATCCCGAAATACTTTAAAATAAAGCTGTCGGAAGGAAAATTCCCTTAGTGTGCACAAAATGGTACATTGACAATCCCATTTAAATATATTGGTCACTGACCCACATTTCTGCACGTGAGATCAAGAAATATCTTAGTCTTCTGGTTGCATTTCTCCAACGGCACTCCAAAAATTTATAAACGGAAGAAACAACTAACAATTATCGTGAAACCATGTTGGAATATATACTCAAAATTTGGACTGTTCGGTTACAGCCATGCGTTACATTGTGCTTAGTATGAAAGCATATATGTCCAAATGTTTAGCAAAAGGATTATTTTAAAACTTAATTCTACTTCTAATGTTCTATTCACTCACTCTTTTACATGAAAAGGCTTTCTCTATATTTAAAACTTCAGTTTCCCTGTTCTAAACAACGTAATATTACTTGCTAATCCACAATAGACCTTATTTTGGAGAACGCATATAACTTTACTTCTGTGAGACTTTTGCGGACGCAACATCAGAAGCAGGTGCGTAACAGGGACTTCCTTAAAAATCCATGTATTTAATGATTTGGTCCACCTACTGTATATATAATGCTATGTCAAATATATATATACTACATGAGTTAGAAATCACTTTTACACTCTCCCTTGTCTTTGTGGGCAGTTTTCATCTGCTATTGGCGGGGTTAGGCGAGTGAGTTGCGTTAGCGACCAGTGTGCCTTCGTCAACGGATATAATATATATATATAATGGTTCCCGAGATCGCTCTTTCTTCCCATATATATTTGCAGATCAGAAGGGTTATGCATTCCGAGCGATATAATGAAGAAATGCACAAGTACATCTTGATTTTTCCGAAGCACCTCTTTTTTTCTTCATATATATAGTAGCTCAAACTGTCATTTCAACCTGCGGTGTGAGCCTAGAAATCCTCATCCCAATTGGTATACTCCATAGTAAATGCTGAAATATAAAACCTGGAGAATCTACCAGAAGGCTAATCAGGAAAGCTTGGGTACTCACTGATGAACTGAACCCCTCGGAGCTACGTCAGGTAGTGGCATAATATCAACAAAACAGGTGTCTGGGCTCTAAACTAGTACATTTCATGTTAACATAGTACATATATAACTAAACGTTGCTTATCCCATGAAATGTTAATCACAATAATGGACTGTATTATCAAGTAGAAAGGAGTGCTTATATAGGGTGTAATATTAGAAAGCATGCAATACAGTCCCAAGACGTTTCACCTATGCCTGAATGCTGCCTTCTAAATAAACATCTTTCTAGTCACCTGCAAAAGCAACATTCCTTAGAAATGACTAGTCAACAAGTATGATTGTTCACAGCAATTTTCGCAACGCATATAAATTCAAATGTTTTTAATGCATACACATATGCCTTTCTCCTTATCGATTCGTTGCTCGTTCCTTTTAATGCTTTTTTTGCTTAAAGTGCCAATATTTTGAACGTTTTTTAAGGAAAAACAAATACCCGTCTCAGTAATCCTGTGGGGCATTGCCGATTATCTTCCAATCATAGTTTTGGAAAAATTTCTTGACATAAAAAGTGTCACTTCGATTTTTCCCTGTTATCAAATTGCTGTTGTTTTTTTTTACGTATGCAAGCACTAAACCAAAAACCGCTTTTGACGTAATACCACCATGCCAAATTAAATTAGTCAGACTGTCAGTCTACTGTACTCCGTTGCGACGCCTGTTCTAACTATAGAGCCCCGAAGCTCAATGATAGAGCGTTGGCTACGCAAAAGCCTACACTGCTCTGCGTGTGGGTTCGACTCCGGCTGAGGCCGCAAGATTTTCACAACTGGATCAACTGAATTATAGAGCGGCTAGGGGATAGACTAACCCTGTCGCACCTGGGCCGAAGAATTTGATGCAACAGTCTAAAATGCCGCTTTTACTGACATTTGAACTGGAATTGAATACACAAAAGCCCTCTTCAATATGAGGTCCAAATGCAGCATTTATTCGCCTTCGTCTGAGGCTGAAATTCTATTTGGCAAGACTGTCTTGTAGGGCAATGTACATATATACTGCCTCCTCGCTCAACTCTCTTACGGAATTGGTGGTTCAACATTTAAATCGTGGTTAACGAGTTTAAATTAATGCGTAATTATGTCGAAAGTGAGCAGACAATATTAAATTTAAGCCATATATTGTTGTTTTAATGAGCTAAATGGAATCAACTCAAACAAAATTAACTTCAGTTACCCGGGCAGCTAATCGGAGTTAGGCGTAAAGAAGGAAATTCGACCTTTTAAAAAGGGAAGTTCTGACTACTGTAACTGTATTTTAAGTCAAAGGCAAGAAAGGCCTCTAAAGACAGTCCTAGCGTACATTCAACCGACCTGCATTTGCATTAAGGTTACTGTTGGAGATCGGCTGTGGGTACATATATTTGTACTTCCTGGAATGGTACACAAGGCCACGTGTGTTAGTTAGCTAGGGGGTCCTTATCCCGAGCCATACCGGTTAAATGTATCTTAATCAGCGTCAGTCAAGATAAAGTTACGTGGTCGTTACTGAAATTCTGATAAAAGTGGAATATGAAGGTCAAATAAAGCAGACAGAGCAGTATTCTACGTTGCCGGCGTTAGTGCTTCCGGTCCTTATTCACTAACATAAAATTAAGTTTAGGAGGGGGTTGCTAGATTTAAGTAATTCAATTGACCATATAGTGAAAAAAAATGCTTGTTTGTATTGGGATTCGAATCTACACCAGCAAGGGGAAGGCTTTAGTACAACCAAGGTTCTACTATTTGAAGTACGAAGGCACGCCAAGGTATTTGAATTTAATTACACTTGAGTCGATTTACCCTACCAGCCCATTGCTTGTATGGAATCCACCAATTCTTATACAGAAAGCTGACTGCCCAAGCAGCATTTCCTAAACAATAAACCTAGAACCCACCAGAATGACTATTAGGCGCGCTTAATTATTAGTAGAGGTTAGGCAGATTTGAATAATTCAACTGACTTAATTATGAAAAATTCGTAGGCAGTCAGTCTGGGCAGTCAGCTTACTGTGCCTTATTGGTGGATTCCATACGTGCAGTATGTTGGGCGGGTAATTCAGAGCTCTCGACGTGCCTCCGTAGCACAGTTGGCTAGAGCGTTGGCTGTACTAAAGCCTAACTTGCTGATGTGGGTTCGAAGCCCACCGAGGCCATGTATTTTTCACAATTGGATTAATTGAATAAAATTAGAAATTTATCTAAAAATAGCATTGCTAAAGAGAACTGTGTGTGAGCTTCTGCTTCGACACGGAGTACTTTGAAAGAAAAAACAGAGACGGTAGAACTAAAATATAGAGGGCGGAATTATTCATCATACTGGAATCGCGGGTACTAATTAAAAGCCCAGACAGGAGTTTCTTCAAATGTGTGCCCTGCATGACGCAACTCCAAGTGGTTCCCTGCTCGTCAGTCAGTTTCCTCTCGGTGTTCCGTACATGCTTTCTAAACCGGAATAGGAATAGGAAGCACCGACCGACATGCTACACAAACGCCCATACGAGGACCGAGGCAGCAAACGAGAAAAAAAATCGATTTATCGATCTGGCGCCGACATACGTCATCCTACGCAGGCATCTCTAGACTAACTTCATTAGTGGTTGACTGGCCCCTGCCCTCCTATAATTATTGCTTGTTTTTGTTGACGCTTCCACCTCTGACGATGGACTCCAATAAGAGTCCGAAAGCTCAGATGAGTAAACTTATGAGTCCGGTGATCGAATTGCCTTCTTTTTCTCTACACCTGGGTTGCGAACATTTGCCTAAATTCTTGAGAGAAAAATCGACTAGCCCAAAGCTGATGATTTTGTCCAGTCGTTCAAAACTTTGATCGATATTTTGGCAGTAGACTTTTTGAGAACCGGCCAAGTTCTCTGACAAGTCAGCAAGAATGCAAACCTGTTCAAGTGAGCAACTCGCAGTTGTCTCAGATAAAGCCTTTCACTTTCCACAGAAACAGTTTACTGAAACCAAAGGCTACACACCAGTTGACTAGTTGTGATGAGTCAGAGAGAGAGAGAGAGAGAGAGAGAGAG